GGAGCGTGGGTTATTGTTGGTGTTCAAGCACAAGCCAGGGCTACCATTGTTGTTATGAACTTATGACTGTAGCTACTGATTTATATTGTATCTGGATCATATACGGTAGTATTTTCCCTGAGTAAATCAGCACCTTGACAAGATCACAGGCACAATCCTGCCGTATTCCAGTAGGAGGTTTGCTGGAATAATGATGGAGTTGGAAGGACTTCATGATTGGACCACATATCACTAAAAGAGTTGGTTACCTTTTCCTGTAATACACATTGTTTGTTCAACTGGTATTGAGTATGTACAGCTGATGGCCAATGTATTGTTTGTTTTGATTTCCTAGTAGGTGGCTTGTGCAAAATGGGTACCCCTCACAACTACCCCTGACTGTGCTGTTTAAAGGTGGATTGCTTTTTGTCTAACTTTTTCATTTGTCATATGATTGACATAGCTCAAGTTTAATATTCTGCAAAGTCATCTATTTACCAAGCACAAGATATTCTACTCAGTGTCCTTGCTGCTGGGCCACATTTATACTGACTATAGCAGGACAGATATTACATTGCTATTAATAAATAATTATGCTGTTTGCCTTAATAGAGCCTCTCATCCCAAAGGACCCCAAACCTTTTTACAGACAATGGATCAAGTTCTACCACAGTTACAACTATTCAATTGCTTAACAGGGTTAAATGGGTATAAAGGAAGGTGCAAATTAATTATAGATTAGATTCATGAATCACTTCACTACCACTGATGTTACCTCTACTTCTGGGGTAGACGTGCTGCCAATATTTTGGTACCAGAATGAGGTCCTGACCTGGCTGGCCTCTAGGTGCTACTGCAATATAAATGTTTAATAATGTTTAGACTATATTCCTGAAAAATATACTGTAAATATTTAGAGCATAGCAGAGTGTTTAATCTGCATAATGTGAAATGAGAGAGGAGGCAAAGTCCTTATCAGAGGAGCTGAGGGTAACCCTCAGTGACATACTTCAAAAATATCTGACACTAGACCAAAGGCAAAACATTTGCTCCTTAGAAGCATTTACATGAGCCCTGGCAGGAATGGTTTAGCAGCACACACACAGTGGGGGAATTCCAGCAGAGACAGATAAATGATCCCAACTCTCCTTTAAATTTACAGGTGACATTTTAACAAGGATTTCCCAGGAACCACCTCAGGTACATTAGTGGCTGTCATGCAGCAGCTGTTTAGCAGCACACAGTAATACTATACAACAGTTTCAGGGAAGGACTGAGGAATATCATATTTAATACATTGTCAGAATTCATGTATTGACAATTTTTAACTGTGCGGAAAGTTAGAACTTTTTCCAGAGGGATAAAATCATGTTGCCAGTACCGGTAACTCTTCTAGTGCTGAATGCTAACGAGTTCTGAAAGCACATTGTCTTTCTGTCTAGACTTGCTCTGCCCCACCTCTCCTAAACCTACATTAGCACCAGTGTTATGCCCAGGGTGCATTCATATTGCAGTTGTAGGCAGGTAGAGGAAGAGAAAATTACTTCCAGCTCATGGAAAAAGAACATGAAAACAAGTTGGCGCAAGTGCCCCAAGCCTGCCAAGACCAGTGAGAAAGAACAGAGTTCATATTAAATACGAGAATGGGCCTTCATGGCCATTCAAGCCTTGATCTATCTTTCTTCAAGAGGGAAGCCAATTGTGAATGCATCCGATGAAGTGAGCTGTAGCTAATGAAAGCTTATGCTCAAATAAATTGGTTAGTCTCTAAGGTGCCACAAGTACTCCTTTTCTTTTCTTTATTTGGCATTTGTATTATCCTAATGTCCAGAGGCCCCAACTAACACTGGGTTTCCATTGTGCAAGGTGTGTACAAGCAAAGAGCAAGGGACAGTCCCTGCCCACAAGACCCTATGATTTAAACAGACAAGGCAGACAGAAGCGGTTTTACTATCCCCATTTTACATATAGGAACCAAGACCCATGGAGTTTGATTATTTTTTTGCACATAGAAACTGGACTCAGACCACCAACTCATTTCACAAGGGTCACTGAACAGCCCTGGATTTAAAACAACTTTTTGTCTCTTTCCAAAGCAGGCTGGCTCTGAACCATCTCAGGCCTGGGCTGCACTAGCCTTTTGCCTGCCATTAGTCTAGCTCAAGGAGCAATTCCACCTGCAGGTCAAAATGGTGAAGCATGGTAAAGATAGGGCACAAGAATTTTTATCATTGTGTTGTCTAAACTGGGGTTAAGCAGCACAGCTGTAAGGACACCCACACCCATCTACACCAGAGCTATCTTCAAGGACCTGTATCAGAAAAAGAGCAGCAGTGGGGAAAGTGCGGTAAATTCCCAGTGTAAAAGGTCCCTAGAGGTGACAGTGAAATACTGTGTAACCAACGCTTTCTGCCATCTGGTTCCCCAAGCTTTTAATTTTTAATAACAAAGCATTTCATACTGAAAACAAAACAACTTACTATTGCAGGTGAAAGGTCCATGTTTCATGACAAACTATTGCTATGAGTAAAAGAAAGGTGTTCTCCCCTAAAGGCATAGTACAGAGCTCCAGCAGCAACAGGACAGACTAGAATGGATTTCTGTATAGAATAATACTGGAAAAACTCCTATGTCCCTCCGGCTTTACAGCCATAATCCAGGACAGCAGTGTTTGTTTTCAGTCCTTGTTACAGACTAATTCACCAAGTTAAACTCTTAGGTATCACTAAGTCCTATCAGTGACTACCTTGCAATACAAATGTTTCTTGCAGCCAGAAGTGAAGCATGAAGAGAGAAACAAACAAATGGAAAAGTAAAGAAGAGATAAGACCCATTTACTTTCTTTGTCACAGTGGCTGACAATTTCCATCAGGCTACATTGGTACCCTGAGCAGAGGTGGAAGTTTGAACACATTTCACCGGCTCAGGAAAGATTTATGGACCTTCTTATTTCAGAAATAGTACACTCCACCTTCCAAAAATTGAGACTCCAATGACTCAAAGAAAGTCATCACTTTCTAAGCCATTTTACAGTATTTGAATCCACAAAGATGTTCATTTTTGCAGAACTAATGCCTGAGTTTAAAATCAAACTGCTCTCGAAGAGATCACTTTGAAAAGAGTGAGGGAAGGAAGTGCTAACAGATAAAAATATTTCTGTAAATAATGTTTTTAATATTTACATTTTAGATTGCATGCCAGTGTAACCCACACACTTCCTGGGTGTGGTGTTCTGTCCCCTCTAGTGGCACTGAGACCATGTAGCACTTAATGAGTCTGCTACAGCCTTAGCTCATGCAGTAGAGGCTCATGCTTTTAGCTTCAGAGGTCCCAGGTTGGATCCCGACCACCAGGGTTTGTCAGTTACACCAGAACCTTATATCATGCTCGGATCTCTTATGTAGGCACCCTTTCTCATTTTTCTTTCTTACCTATTTCACTGCAATTGCAATACAAAAATAATACCTACAAATAGTGAAGCGCAAGTTGACCATAGACAGATGGGAGTGGGAGAGGTACTATCCATCAGTAATGTGAAAACATCATTTCCTTTTTGAAAATGTTGCCTGAATTTATTTTGCCAAACCAACATCATTAATAATTTCACCACAGGTCTGGAAATAATGTTTTCTAGTTAACTGCTGCTACATACATACACATATCGTAAGATGAACAAAACATGATGATCACTCAAACCTACTGTTTTTCTTTTTGATTTCATAGATTCTGATCCTGCAACAGACCCCCCTCTCTCTCCACCCCCACTCCCCCACCCCCCAATGCCTGTGTGGAATCCCATTTTGTTCTGTGGGGTTGAACATAGAGACATGGTACACCCAAGCACAGGCGGTAAGAGAAAGGTCTTAGTAAAGGAGTAGTACATTAAGGAGGACTGCGGGAGGGCAGGGGGATATTCAGAATTTGCAGGACTTTCCCAGTCAAATTCTAGCAATTTTATATTAGATCAAATTTGAGGTCTAAAACCTTGACATTGTCTTTTTAACTCCATGGTAATTTAAATTCTCTGGGTCATTTAGATCTACATTATAAAACCATTAACACATACTTTGACAGGCAAAGCATAAATAATATGCAGTCTAGAAAAAAGTCAAAGGTTTGCTATAAAAAATGATTGGGTTCTTTTACCCAAAGACAAGAACCATTTCTGATCAGAGATATTAAAACACTGTGGCAAAGCTTGCACTGCAGATGCTTGCACTATACCTGGCCTGTGAATAGAGAACTAAAGTTTTTTAGAGCTGGTTCTCAACTCTTCCTTTAAAGACTGAAAATGCCCATCGACACTAACGATATCTTAGTATTACTATGCTTTCTAGTAGCAATGTAATACTGCAATTTTTGCTACTATGATGCAATACATAGCCATGGCCATCAGCCCACAGAACTGCAGAAAGAAACTAAATAGCCACCTCAACATACCTTTGTCAGTTACAAAGATGACTCAACACATTTCCCCTAATTTACATTTCCTCCTTTAAATTTAGAGGGCCAAAGTCTGATTTCAGTGACACTGGTGTAAATCTGAGAGTAACTCCACTAAAGTCAACCTTGATAGAAAAACAAATACTTTACATTGGAGGCCATGAAGTTAGGGTGATCAGCTGTCCTGATTTTATGGGGAAAATCCTGATATTTGGGGCTTTGTTTTATATAGGTGCCTATTACCCCCCAGTCCCTGTCCCAATTTTTCACACTTGCTATCTGGTTACCCGACACAAAGTAAATGGGGTAAATCAGTTTTCCACTAGTGTAAATGAAAGCAGAATTTAGGTCACAGTTTTTACATGTGTTAAAGTATAATTAAATCCAAAGATTATTTTATAAGTGTACAGTATGCCTATTTTTCAGTCCTTTCTTTGTGTGTGATGTTTCACGGGGGAAGACCAGCATTTCTCAAATTGGAGGTCCTGCCCCAAAAGGGCGTTGCAGGAGGTCACAAGGTTATTTTAGAGGGGCCGCAGTATTGCCACCCTTACTTCTGCGCTGCCTTCAGAGCGGGGAGGCTGGAGAGCAGTGGCTGTTTGCTGGGGGCTCAGCTCTGAAGTCAGCACCACTGCCAGCATCAGCGCAGAAGTAAGGATAGTGGTACCTACAATAACCTTGCGACCCCCCTGCAACTCCTTTTTGGGTCGGGACCCCTATAATTACAACATTGTGAAATTTCAGATTGAAATAGCTGAAATCATGAAACTAAAAAATTTTAAACTCCTATGGCCGTGAAATTGACCCAAAAGGACTGTGGATTTGGTAGGGCTCTACTCAAAATGTTGCAGAGTAACTAGTCCCGACATCAAGCATTTAAAAGTGAACTCTTTCAAAACTCGGAAAAAAGAGAGATGGGAAACACTGAGCTGTAGCTCACCAAAGCTTATGCTCAAATAAATTGGTTAGTCTCTAAGGTGCCACAAGTCCTCCTGTTCTTTTTGCGAATACAGACTAACACGGCTGTTACTCTGAAACCTAAAAACTTCCAGTATGTTGCCTTAACGAGGTGTCTGATACAAACGACTGATGATATCTCAAAATCCATGTATCCAAATCTTAAAGACCGTGACAGCTTTCATAATCCCACTTTTTAGCAACTAAATCATCTCAGCCAGTTTCAGTAACCCTAAAATACCACACACAGTGCTTCAATAACTGCACCTCCCCAGCAGGGCTTCCTACAGGACACTCACACAACCCAGCTCTCTCTCACACACACCCACCCCCCCTCCTTGGAGTGACTGACTGGTTTATTTACGCACAGGGAAAAGCTCCGAGGGGAGACCTCCACACGTTCAATGGGCGGCCACAGATGCTCCTCCCATCCCCAGCCATGGGGATCCCGCACATGCTCCCCCGACCCCCGGAGATGCTTCCCGAGCAGCCCTAGGCGGAGGGGGAAGGAGACGCTTCCCAGTGCGCGCAGGGAGGAAAGGGCGTCTGGGTGGGACTCACTCACCCAGGGTTTTCACCGCGATCTGCCTGGTGAGCGGGGGCGGCAGGTTGATGCAGACCAGGTCCACGTCCTGGTGCAGCAAGACCTCGTCTATCCGGCTGGTGTAGAAGGGGACGCTCATCTCCTTGGCCAGCTCCTCCGCCTCCTCCTGGGTCCGGCCCCAAATCGCTTTGACCGAGAAGCCCTCGTCCTTCAGCAGCGGGATGATGACCCGGGCGGTGAGGCTGGTGCCGAACACCCCCACCCCGGGCAGCATGGCTGCAGCTCCCTGCCCCTGGCCGGCTCGGCGCCCTCCGTCCCTGCCTGCCGCGCGCCGAGGAAGGGCGCGGAGCTGCGAAGCGCCGCGGCAGCCAGCGGCCCTGCAAGGAGCGATCAGACCCAGCCCAGCGCCGCCGCCCTGGGAAGGGGGACACGCCGCCCCCGAGCCCAGCAGCAGTGGCTGGCACGCCGCCTGGCAGCTGGTCCCTGCTGCGCCCCGCGGCTCCCGGAGCGGCTCAGCAGCAACGCAGCGGCCCCCGCTGCTCCCCCCTGCTCGCCCTCCATACCCGGATCATCACACAGCCCAGCGCGCCTCTCTTCCCCACCACACACACACGCACACGCAGCCCCGAACCCGGGGGCTCTTCCCCGCCCAGCTACCTCTTCAGCCCGCGACAGGGGAAATTGCGGGGCAGCCAACAAGTTGTAGAGCGAGGCGGCGGCAGCAGCCTGAACCTTACTCTGCATCTGCCATGTTCACCACAGAGCACTCCTGAGCACTGCGAGAAAAGGAGGAGTTTTGCTGTCACCTACTGCTTTCCTGCAACGCCCTCTTTAGAGCTCACATGTCATTGGCCACCACTCTGGTTTCTTTCCCAGTGCGATCGAAAAATAGCACCAATTGGCTGGCATGCCCTTGGCAGGGGGCAGCAGAGGGCTGGTGGCACTAGTTGGGGCACGGGGATATAGAAGCAGGCAGAAGGATGGGCTACCTAGATCCTGAAAGGCTAGGCTTCCTCAGTTCCTCTCCCCTCCCTCACTCTTTCACCACCCACTCTCCAGCTGCTGCAACCCTCTCCCTTGGGGCTCAGGGCTTGTTAGGAGCTTACTCAGCCTTCCCTCCACTTTAACTCTTCCCCCACCTATTTTTGTTCTTATTGTTCGGCTTGAGACCCGATATACAGACTTGCCAAGTCTGGAGGGAGACTCTTTTCTTTTGAATCTGTTAGAAGGCAGGGGCTTTTTAAGCTTCTCTCTTTAATAAAGAAGGATTTGGCTGCACATCTTTCAATGACACATCTAAACGTCTCTCATTCAAGTTTTCTCTGGCATATCATCATAAAAAGAAGATTGCTTTGCTAATGCTAACTGCTCCCACTTTAAAGCTTGTAAAGAAGGCCTAGACACCAGGGTACTGGGAGCCCTATAAATGCAGGGAATGATATAAATACAATAGTAGTAAAATATACTGTTTGTAAGAGAGATAAAATACACTAGTTAAATTTCTTCACTAACTTTCATTTTGTATTCCCCCCAAGCTGGCTTTTTCATCTCCTCCTTTCTACAGGTACTACTGCCCTCTTAGTCTCTGTAGAAACAGGGGAGGAGGGTCCAGCAGAGCTATCCAGCTATGAAAGATGGAAGTGCCATCCCTGCACCAGCATTCCCCTATCCCAGGAGTCCCAGGAGACGCTCTGTGAAGACTGGGATCTTCCTTGTGTAGGAGGGCAGTGGTGCTGGAGGGGAGGGAAATCACTGGGTGTGGCATTAGACCCGCATCAGCTCCACATGGCCCTCCCAGGTAAGTTATTGGTGAACCCCATCATGATGCAGCTCCCCCCTGACAAGAGGTTCTGGCCATAGCAGCTGGCAGTGGATTCCCTGGCAGCATGTTTCTTAAATGTTCCTCATTTTGAGAGACATCACTTAGTTTAGTCCCAAAGTTACCTGCATCCCAGAGAAATGTCGATGTCCCCTGTAACTGAGGTTACAGAAAGTTATATGTACAAAAGGAAAGAATTGTTCAGCACTTTAAGTTTTCTGAATTAATATTTTTGACCTCTCATTCTGAGTGTTTATCACACATTGTGTTCCACATCAGGACTTGGCAGGTTGAGAGATATACAACTCAGGGATAGTGTTGCCAAAGGTAGTCTGGGAGGGCCAGCCAAGAACCACTGCAGATGCACAAATTGGCTTGACCTCTGTTGATTCACCAAGATCTGTACAGATCTCTGGAGATCCACTGATTTTGCAGGACAAACCCCCTCTACTTCCACAGGCAGAATGGATGAGCAAAAAATGTCTCACCCAATTCTGTGCTGCTCACTTACACTGGTGTAAATCCAGAGTAACTCCATTGAGGTCAATGTAGTTTCAATGGTGTCATATCTGAGAGAGAAAAATCAGGGTCAGGAAGTTCGTTGACCCCATGTAGGGGGATTTCAGTCAATGTCATCTTGGTTTTCAATTTATTCTCCACTCTGCTAACCCCTATACAATGCAACCCATCTAAAGAAACCATTTTATTATTCTTGTTTCTTCACTAATTTCCTTTTGCATTTATGTATTGCATTGCAATGCAATTGAAAACATTTTTTTCTACCTTAGATTCCTGGAGTTGTGCCAGGGACATTTTTGCAACTCACCACTATATGAAAATTAAATTAAGATTAAGAAGCAAGCATTCCCTTTATCAGCTGCTGCATGGAGATTCTGTTTTTTCTGCCCTCATTGAGGGGGCAAAGACTTCTTTACTGAAAAAAAGAACAGAAGCCTGGAGGATCACTACAAGTTAAACAGTCTTGCTTGCTATGTACTCTGCATCTTTGAACTAAGCACCATCAGACTAAACTGAGACTGATACATTTGAGCTTAAAACAATTGAAACATGATCCAGGTCCATTTGTCAAATAACCACAGCAGCATTACCTTACCGTAGAATATCAAGGTTGTACTGGGTCCTCAGTCAGATGCTCAAAACTATTTATAGATTATGTTCCTGGGATGAGTAATTTGGAAATTTTTCTTTGTCTTACTGTCCTTGTCTGTGTATAATAATAAACCCAAGAATGTAGCTAAATCACAGGAATAGACTGGAAATGGAGCATGAATTATGATTTATTAATTATATATTTTATATTACTTCAACCCCCCCAACATGGACTAGGAACTTTACAAAGATGCAGATAAGGTCCCTGTTGTGAAGAGCTTACAATCTAAACAGATAACATGTAGTTGTAGATGAAGGGTGAAGGATAGGATGAAAGTGACTGAGCGGTGAAGTTAGTACTTCCTGCTCATTCCATGCTTTTTATAGAGACGTTTCTTGTTTGCTAGTTGTTTTATTTCATTACTTCCTATTTTGTTAACATGTCTTTGTCAACAAGCTCACCCTTACGATATGTCTCCACTGCAGTTAGCCTAGTCCAGCCATACCACAAAGCCATATCTGAGTTACGGTGTCCTCATTGGTGCTCCTGTGCTGGCTCCCCCATGTGTGTTGCTGGGCCTCTTGGGAACGTATCCGTGGTTCTTTGTGCTGCAGTAAGTCAACCCACTCTATGATTCTTTCCCAATGAATTGTGGGAGAACTTGTCAGTCCTTCTGGGCACAGGGAGGGAATTGTAGGAAGGCGTTGGAGTGATATAGCCTGTGACCTCACTGCAAAGGCGGGTTACTAGCCTAAATGAAAGGGGAACTTTCCATAAGGGAACGTACAATTAGAGTGACCAGATGTCCTGGTTTTATAGGGACAGTCCTGATTTTGGGGTCTTTTTCTTCTATAGACTCCTATTATTCTCCATCCCCTGTCCCGATTTTTCACATTTGCTGTTTGGTCACCCTATGTACAATCAGAAATCCTTCCTACCTTCCAGTACCTATATTCAAAGAGGTCTCTTGGAAGTATTAGATTTATTCAGCATTCTGTATAAAAGGCTCTCTAAAACATACAGTGTTTGCAGATAGGAACTGTTATGGGCACCTGAATAATCAGCTGCTGCAAGAGAAATGCAGGAACCTGGCAGTCTTTTGAACTCAGTCACCTTTTGGCAGGTAAAAGCTTTCTGTTGACCTTTAAGATGTAAGGTTCCTACACATATATTCTGTTAGATTTCTATCCAAAGCCCACTGAAGTCAAATGAAAGATTTGGGTCAGGCCCTTAATAGTCTGAAGCAATTTCTTTGGTCTCTTTCTGCACTTAAAAAAATCTGTTCATTTAAAGTCTATTTTAACAACAATTGTACTACCATTATATTCTATAACTGTAGTTCTACAACTTTTTAATACACCTGTTGGAACAACAGTGAGCAAAGCTGAACAATACATAACTTCTGTGATATCAGGAAACAGAGCTTGCTAGCTACCAGAATAGTTTTCAAATCCCAGAATTTAAAATATGAATTAACTTATTTCCTTTTACATAAATCTGGGTCCTCAAGCATCAAACAGTTGTGAAATTTCTTTAAACCAGTTGGTTCCTTCTGGATTTTACAATTTGTGATCATCATGACTGGGCTTCTGTACCTCTGAGAGCTGCAATTGTTTTACTCGAAGATAACAGTGATTCAGAGATAAGGAAACTTGGTGATTCAGACCAAGTCTGGTTCTCCCACTCAAACCGTATTAAGTGACACATATATGCTGCCCTAGAAACGGTACATGAGCTGAGCTGCTCAAGTTTATACATATAGATATGAGATTCCAACACATTTTGCAGTTTCTCAGACTATTGAGAATTCATTCTTTCCAGGAGGCATACATTTTATTTCAAGGTCTCTTTAACTGCATTTCCACTGAGACAGCTCACAAAGTTCCCCTACTTTTATTTAAAGGGAAGAGCTGTGTTAACATTTATTGTATTAAATGGCCCAGTGTTCAAAAGGGAACTCTACAGCAATGTAGGCCATATAAGCTAGTAGAGGACTCAGATAGGGCTTGATCCTGCTCCACTAAAGCCTGGTCCATGTACATTTGAAGCATACCAATTCCATTAGTATGAAGCCATTCTTTAGCAGATACGCATCTTAAGTATGTAGCGCTATAGGGAAGCAGTGGTGACTCTGAAATCCCCAATCATTGACATAATCCTTGTACAGGCATTTTGTATGCTGTGCAGCTAGGAGCCCTTCATTAAAGGACTGCAGGTCCACAAAAAGGGGTTGAATAATAACACCATTTAACACAGAGAATGATGTTTTATGTATAGATCTCACAGTATTTTACAATGGTGGGTAAGTATTATTACCCCCATTTTACAGATGGAGAAACTGAGGGAGAGAGAAAGTAAGTGCAAAATTTTCAAAAGTGTCTCTTCATTTTGGGGCCCTCAGTTTTTAAGTGCTTGTCCCCAGCTGGCCACCAAAAATGAAGTACTCAGAATTAGTGGACACTTGAAAATGTCGGCTTAGATGACAGCATGTGGGACCCAACTCAGCAAGGTATTTAAGCAGCTGCCTACCTTTAAGCATGTGAGTAGTCCCATTTAGTTGCACCAAATGCTCCATGCTGAATCAGGGCCATAGTAAATCAGTAGCATAGAAGCCCTGAATTCTGAAATCTAGTTTTGGGCCTAAGCACTAGACCATGTCATGACTCGTACTATATGTTTGTAAAGTGGTGCATAAATGAAATGTGCTATATAGCTAATAAGTATGTTTTTAATTGATCACATTGCATTTCTTGCACTGTGGCTAAGAAGTTAAGAACATAAGAAAGGCCATACTGGGTCAGACCAACAGGAGCCAATGCCAGGTGCCCCAGAGGGAATGAACAGAACCAGTAATCATCAAGTGATCCATCCCCTGGTGCCCATTCCCAGCTTCTGACAAACAGAGGCTAGGGACACATCCCTGCCCGTCCTGGCTCATTGCCATTGATAGACCTATCCTCCATGAACTTAACTAGTTCTTTTTTTAACCCTGTTGTAGTCAAGTTGCTTTAGGAAGAAGATCGTATGGCATTGTGAGTTTTTTTAGACACTTTAAAATATGTAAAATAAAATTAACTTGTTTTTGAGAGTTATGAAGTATCCAATATAAAACATGTTTAAAAGAGTCAAACTAGGTGGTAATCCATTTTTATATAGGAGCATAGCAATTGCTAGACTGGATCAGACCAGAGGTCCATCTAACCAAGTATTCTGTTTCTAAAAGTGGCCAGGACCAGATGCTTCGGCGAGAAACTTTGGAGTAGGCAGAAAATATAGCAACTCTAAAAAATAATGCAGACATGCAACATATGTTAAATACTGCAGCCAGGAGAGATCCAAAATTCATTCCAAATAAATAAATCTTGTTCCATAAAAGAGCGGACAGTGTTGTCAGCCTGCTAAGCCAGGCTTCCAAAATACTGAGAATCAGTTACATTTCACAAGAGGAAGTGCTGCTGTTCTTTACCTACCTCAGTGATTCAAAAAGCGTAGGCACAAATTTCATTTTGACCTTTTGTAAATACACAGGAGGAGGAGTGAGCTAAATGGACACTCAATCCCAGGAGCAGAAGAACTGATAACATTCTTTTGTTTCATCTGTTTGCCTCTTTAAAGAGGACTAGCCATGTCCCAGTGCAGGGTTTTGTTCTGCTGGGTTGTTTGTTGTTGTTTTAGCATATTGGTATTTTTATTGCTTAATTTAGGAACTTGCTGCCCTCCCTTGGCCCACCAGAGCCCAGATTCATTAACCTTCCAGGCACATGGAAAAGCCCATTTCCCCCCTCCTCTTTAAAGCTGTTGAAGAGGGTATAGGCTGAGGTGGATGGATTTATGGGGAGTCCTCTGTATATGTTGTGATTTTTAATTTATGGCATAGGCACCCAGAGCACTGGATGGGCAGCTAGAGATTTGAAGAAATAGAAATAAAGAATTGTTCTTGGTTATGTGCCATGCAAAAAAGAAGAAGATGGGGAAACAATTCTGGTTAGATTGGCCAGGTTAGGCAGCTATATACCAATTATCAGCATGTTAACGTATTCATAGTCCAGAGCAATTTTTGTAATTTGTTTTCAAATAATTCATCTCTACACAGCTGTGATCTCTTCAGGTTTTCCAGCGGTGCTATGTAATACTATGCCAGGTCATTTAACTCTGCAGCTGTATTATCTAACTCTGTCAGGCTTTTTGGGATAATAGTTTGCATGAAAGATAGTACTCAAAACAAAGTTACAAGGACGGATCCAGACCCTGCATGAGTACAACTCCAAGGAAATCATCATGTCTGAAATTACTTGTACTGTTTGGCCCAAGTTGTTTATTTGTTAAATTCACTATTCTAAATAATTTATTTGTTAAGTTCATTGCTGGAAGAAACCCACTGAAGCAAATGCATTCTCATCAAGGATAAATTTAGCCCATTATATCAGTCCTATGACGGCTCATGGAGATTCGCCTTTATCGCAAGTGGTAGAACTACTGCTTTTGGGACTGAGGGTGCTTTGTTAGAGTCCAGGCAGAACTGATTCCTTATAACTCAAAAATTAAGTCATGCAAGTAATGGCCTCTTTTTCAGGGAGAGAGTTTTTCCTAGTGGTTAGAGCAGGAGACTGGGTTCTATTCCTGTTCTGCCTATGACTTTCAAGAATCAAGGTGGAGAGCATCTCCTGAGAAGTGCTGAAAGGCTCAGCACCTTGCAGCATCAGTCTCTTAATAGTCCAGTGTTTTAGGGCTCGTTGTTGCACACTGTTTGGTATGGGTAGACCAGTGATACTCAGACTGAGGCTTGAGACCTGCTAGTGGTTCTTTAACGTGTCTCCTGTGGCTCTTTAAATCACAGAGTGTTTTAATAACGTGTGCTGCAAAGATTAACCAGTCTAAGTTATTAACCAATCAGGATGCTTTAACTATGCTTTTACCCAATTGTAGTTGATAAAATAATAATACTTGGTCAGTCACATTATATATATATATATATAAACTAAATATTTTCCTGTCATACTGTTTAACTATGAATATATGGTACTATAGTAAATGAAACAATGAATTCACACTACTGTGGCTCTTTTTTGTAATGTTGATCAGTAATTTGGTTCCTGATTCACTGAGGTCTGAGTATCACTGGTGTGGTGTAGAATCAGACTATGCTGGTGCACACTAAAAATTCCCTCATGCACTTTAACATCGGACTGAACAATACTACATTAAAAGCATACTAGGGAACTTCTAGTGCTCACCACCAGAGACTGTAGAGGTCAGTTACCGTGCAGCATATCAGCGTGCTTTAGAAGTCACACCCTGTAGTGCACTTTCCACACCATGTAGACAAGCCCTTATTTTACACAGCTTTAAAATAATTGTTATACTAATGACTTACCCCACAAGCTTAAGGTGAGGATTAATGTTGTAAAGCACTTTCAGATCCTTGATAAAAGTGCTATAGACACATATTAGTCATTCCTGTTATTATGTAAATGTTGCCAACCCTGTTT